GGTCGTTCATTGGTTGGTTGACCGTCCCCGACCCTTCTTTTGAAACTTCAACTACCTGGAAATTCAGCGTATAAGTACAACTCAAGAAGATGTCAATAGTTATTGAAAACTGAAGGTTCCTTGGACTGGGATATGGCCTTCGACTTCAGCAAACACTAAGGGTTCCGACCTTCGAACATCGGCGGGTGAGGCTTGCCTATCGACCAGTACCTCTACATTTTGGTCGGTCATTGGCAAATCCGTTGGTGGGTTGCCTTCCATCCGAACGTTTGGCCCCTGCATTCAGTCGGCTGTTATCACATTAAAATGTCATTTATGGTTAAAATCTAAGGAATACCTCAAGCGTAAGAGTTTGTGTGGTTGGATGATTTGAAGTCGGGAAGGGAATGAAGGTAGGAGTTGGGTCTGTTGGCATGATGGTTGCATTAGCAGCTGGGCCAGCGGCAGCTCGCAAGGGCAAGGTGAGAGCAAGTTGATATCAAGATAAATATTTAAGTTCAAGGTTTTACTAGAGTAAGATCACCTGCTAAGGCTCGCTGTGCCGCAGACGTTTGGAATTCGGGGAAAAGGGTCATGTGTACTGGTAGAGAGGCCAAGTAGTCTTCCCCTACTTTACGGTGCTCTTTCGAACTCGCCGGTTGGGCTGTTGTAGAAGCCTTGGCCTTTTTTTTAGGAAGAGCTGGCCCCACCGGCCTGCATCCCTCGTTGCCGTTTCGGTCGTGGGGGTCCTAGGGCGACCTTTCCTGTTAAAGGTTGCGGCAGTAGAATTAGCTGGGACCCCAATTGTCTGGTGGTCGGAGGAAAAAAGGTCTTTATACAATTATCAATGGGCTTTCCGACCATAGGCCAAGCGATTTCTGACCACCATTCTCGAAAGGTTGGGATTGTATCGGGGCATTCACAGAAGGGAGTTGATAAGGTAGTTGGTGAGTTGATCGGTGTATGGTTTGATGGCATATTCGGCCATGACGTTTTGGGCATGGGTTCGGACAAGGTGAGGAGTAAAGACTAAATCTGGGATGCCTTGGTGGTAGCCGAATTGACGCGCCAAGTAATGCGGATAATAGGGGAATGCGGCATATGTTTTTTTCATTCTGTCAAGATTTTTCCCAGCGAAAAGAGATCGAGGCTTGAAAGCCGCCTCCCAGGAGTATTTGAAGGTTGGAAGTGGCGATTCAGAGGGTGGCGGATACGGAAAAGGAATTGAAGAAGGAATATAAAAATGTGGTGTGGGGAAAGCAGTAAGGTGAAAATAGGGGTAATAATTTGAGTTGGTAGTGTCAGTTTCCAAAATAGCTTTGAGGGTGGTCTCGGAGTCATTATGGTGTTTTTGGTAAAAGAAAAAGAAGAGAAGATATCGGCCAAATGATATATCCGAATCAAAAAGAAAGGTGGGCACCCGAAGAAGAGAGGGTGGAAGTACAGACAGAACCAAAGTTCCAAAAACCAAACCGGACCGGAAAAAACAGTGTCAAGTTTGGTGAAGCTGGAAAGTTTCGGTCAGGTTTTGGAAAGTCCCTAAAAAAGGCTGACAAAGAACAAGGTACCGAATGAGAGAAATCAGCCCTGAGCCAGGTGAATGGCGATATCAGTATGGGTGTAGGTGATGGATTTGAAAGAGGGGCAGATTACATATGTCATGGCCAGAATATAGAAGCATATAAGAAAGTTGTACAGTAAGAACAAAATACTGAATTCGGAAAGGGCCACATACCTGCAGAGCCAGTATAACATAAAGGCAACATGATCTTCATTGGTGAGTGAGGTGTCTTTTGCCCCACAGTGCATTTTAACGTACGGCCCCCAGGCCACGACTTTGTTTTGCGGGGATGTCTTTATCTTTTACCCTAGGAGGTCGGTTGCTGGTTCATGGCTGGTAAGGGTTCCAACTACTGGGTCCTCCCTTACAATCGAGAGGTGGGCGATCATGGAGACATCCATCAAGGTCGGGCCGATTGGCCTTACGGGTTGTAGGAACGCACTGGCCTCCGGGTCCTAGAAGTTAGTCCTGGCTAGGATGGTTGTGTATTGGATGTTGAAGCTTTGGCATGACATAAAATAGCTTTTTTAAGCCCTTGTTGTTTCCATTGTCTCATGAAACTCTTCTTCATCCTTTCGTACCAAGTGCAAAATTCATCCCCTGGATCCAGAAGATTGGTTTTGATTCCGTCCCAGAGACGGGATGTGTTGAAGGCCCCATCAAGAATGGCGAGCCGACGGTTGTGTTGCAGAAAGTTTAGCATGGGGGCTCCCTCGACGACGGTGGAGACGAAGGAGCGCACCACCGGAGTGGCGGTGGAAGATGAGTTCATGGCAAGCTGCGGAGCGGATCCATCAAAGGAATGACGGTTGTGGTCTCCATGGAAGTATACACAAAAGTTGAACTGAAGTGGTGAGAAAGGTGCGCTGGATGCTCAATAGGATTTTTGAAAGAAGTAAGAGAACGAATGCTGGTGATGAAAGTCTTTAATCTTTCCCTTCCCTTTTCGACCATCGTAATGATGATCTTGTAGACATGGGACAGAGGAAAGAATCTGTCATGTCACAGTCACCGTCCTTGAGATGTCACTCTTGACATTCTTTTGGGGGTGGCAAGTTGTTGAATTACGAAAAAATCGAGTTTAGGGTTTCACCCCATTGGCTCACATGGACAAGTTGGGCCCGTAGAGTCAAATTGGGTATAGGGAGGCGGTACAATTCGACAATATTGGAATTCAGGTGCGATGGGCCAATGAATCGTTCGTTTCCGGGCCTAATGGTTGCAAAGTCAGAAAGCACCGCTTGGACAATTGGGGTGTCCGAAAGTTGAAGAGGCACACCCTTTGAAGTAACCGACTTGAGTGGTTGGAGGTTAGGGGGTAATCGTCAGGCGGTTACCCCGTAATCACGTAACCGAATCCAACCGCTCGGAAACGGTGCGGGCAAACGGATATAGGCGAAGAGCAGGGGCGAAAAGAGGAACACTCGATAACACAAGAAATTCTGAACAACTTTAGATTTTAAATTTTCTCTTAATTCTAGCTCTCGTTTCTTATTTATATTTTTAGTTTTTTTTTTGTATTAGCAACTCAAGCGCTTAGGGATTCATCTATTATCTTAGGCACAACTCATAACGTTCAAAATCTACTTTTGAATTCTACTTTGTTTTGTTGGATTTCTCTAGGCAACAATTTGAAATTTTGTTTAAATAATACTCCATCCGTCCCATATCTTTTTATCTATTTATTTTTTGCACGAAATTTTAGAAATATCAGTATTACATTAGTATATAGTAGATATAAAGGTAAAAAAATACTAAACTAACTTTATTAGTATTATATGACATAAAAGTAGTGACATTTGTATAATATATTGTATATTAGAAGGGTATTTATAATGATAAGTAGATAGTACAATTACTTCAGCAAATAGATACTTTGTTATGAGACAAATCAAAATAAAAAAATAAATAAATTGTTAAAAGACGGATGAAGTATTCTAATTTAATATTTAGTGAAATAAATAGTATGTTTTATTAAAAATTATACACAATAATAAGTTTTAATTTAAATTAAAAATCACAAAAGAAAATCCTAACATATAAGCAAAAACATATGTTAATATGGTATGATCTCTCAATTATATTAACGTACGTACAGATAATATATATTTATATATAATTATAAATTATGTTGATCTGGGTGGCTTGCACCAAAGCAATATCCACTTCCTTAGTGGAATTAATTTATCAATGTTGGACGGCCAACCCCATAGAGATATGAGGCACGTGTTAGGCCATTATACATCTCTGCACATATTTACTTATAACCAACTTACTCACTCACGGCCGTTTCGGAGTTTTATTAAGTTCTGACCAAAAAATTAAATTACAGGTCCTATAAACGTATCATTACATTTATTTTTAAAATAATTTTAAAGATAAATATAATAATAAATTGTAAAAAATAACAATTATTTTAATTATATATCCAATAAAAAGGCATTTACAAAAATGTATAATTAGTAAAAGGTAAACTGTTTTTTTAGTCCCGTAACTGGATCCCTTTATCATTTTAGTCATGTAAGTGGAGCCTGTTGCAAACTAGTCCCATAAGTGAAAAAATTTCGCTGTTTTAGTCCTCCGGCGCCAGACACGCCCGCGTGGCTCGCCGGAGGTGAAGTGTCCGCCAGGTGTCCCACCAAGTCAGCGACACCTGGCAGACACGTGGATTTATTATTATTTTTTTTCATTTTTTAAAATTTTTTTAATTGTACCAAATAAAAAATACAAATAAAATTAAAAATAAATTAAAAATAAGTTTTAAAAAAAATTTAAAAAATGAAAAAAAATAAAAAAATCCACGTATCCGCCAGGTCAGCGACACCTGGCGGACACGTCACCTCCCGCGAGCCACGGGGGCATCTCCGGCGCCGGAGGACTAAAACAGTGAAAATTTTTCACTTATGGGACTATTTTACGACAGCTCCACTTACGGGACTAAAATAATAAAGGGGTCCAGTTACGGGGCTAAAAAAACAGTTTACCCAAAAATAAATAATATTATGATTATTGTAAAACCAATAGTATAATAATAACGACAACAACACTAATAATAATACTATAAATTTCAAATGTATTTTTTATTGCAAAATGTTTGCACAAATAAAGACAAATAATAATAATTTTAAGTTAAATTTTAATGGATGGAGCTTGGGGCTGAAAAGGAATTGAAAAATGGAGAAAAAAAAATTGTTAAAATTTAGTTTTAAAATTATAATTGAATTGGTTAATTGAAAAGAAAAATTAAAATCTAAAATATAATTTAAAATTTAATACATAATATAATAATAATAATAATAATAATAATAATAATGGTCTAAATTTTAATATTACTGACCCTCTTTAGCTAGGTCTGAGCATTTGCTCGTGTTGGTCCCCTACGACAGCCGGCCATGCACTTACCCATCCTCCATTATAAATAGGTCGATTTCATTGCTTTCACCACAAAATAAAATAGCAATCCCTGCTTGTTTAGTTCGTACACTTAGATCTCAAAGAGAAACTGTGATAGATATTCGCACAAAGGTCGATCGACGAAGACTATATATGGCAATGATCCTTAAAACAACTCTTCTCCTTGGTTTGTTCGTTCTGTCAGCATTCCCATTGGTTACCGAAAGCCATGTCGCCCGGAAAGACTTGGGCATCGACTTAGGCGGTGGAGGAGGAGCTGGAATTGGAGTCGGGGCGGGTGTGGGCATCGGATTGGGTGGTGGCAGTGGGTCGCGTTCTGGGGCTGGTTCAGGCTCGGGATCAGGATCAGGATCAGGATCAGGTGGGAGGTCTGGCTCAAGCTCTAGCTCAAGTTCGAGTTCGAGTTCGAGTTCGAGCTCTAGCTCAGGCTCCAATGGTGGTCATGCTGGCTCAGAAGCAGGCTCATCTGCGGGGTCCCAAGCTGGCTCTGGGTCGGGAGGGTCTGGCTCAGAGGCCGGCTCATCGGCTGGGTCACGAGCAAGGTCTCGAGCTGGAGGGGGTGCCCATGACTGAAGGGCTAATGTAATCCTAAAATAAAATTGAATGGAAGAAGAAACAGTTTCTAGTTTCGAGTTTGCTAGAATTTCTTCTTTTATATATATATATGTATATTAATATATTGGTGTATGTATGCGTAATAAACCTAATGAGTAGGTCTATATATATATACGTAGATTAGTCGAGGGAAAATAAAATAATAAAAGGCAATGGAGCTTCCTTGTAACGCATGCATGCATGCACTTTCTGGCTAAATTTACATATGGTGTTTAATTATGAGCTTCTCATGATGCTTTTCACTAATTTACTCTGCAATGTTTGTGTGTATATACATATATCGGATCTGCATGTTTTGCATATATATATATAGAGAGAGCCGTTTTGGAATTTTTCGGGGCTCTGAGTAAAATAAATTGTACGTCTTATAAACACAATTAAATGTATTTTGAAAATAATATCACTAATGCTGACATGAGCTGGACAAGACGTTGAAGGCGCAGTTTGACGGTATCGATTCGAAAGAAGAAAATGGAAGATGGATGACATGGATGTCCGAACGTCAATATTCACAATTCCAAAACCTCCCATTGGACCAGCTTCGAGAACCCAAAAGAAAGCTTACATTGACAAATTACAAGGTTTGATGATAAGGTTTGCAAGTTGGGGAGCAATTAAAGCCCATGTAGCAATAGCCCGTAGACTTGTCGATGGATGCCGACGTTGGAGCTTGCAACGCCTCAATCGGACAACTAACGGAAAAGTTGTGTAAACCTAAGAGTTTGCTAAAATAAAAGGTTTAATATGTAATTATATAAACCTAGGTTTGCACATACTCAAGTCGGGGGATCATCCATTTGGACCAATTATATATATACACTAAGCTCTCACATGTCTCTCACATGCATGGGGGGACCATTAGCTAGGTATCACTCAATGAAAGATTACTTATACAAAACTCATCCAACATTGGAAAATCACTCCATTTTCCCGTTCCACCACTCCTATAAATAGGACTCTCAAGGTGTTTTGTAAGACACACCAAACAAATATATTTTTATGAATATTTGACAATTTATGATCACTTCAATTTATGGAAAGTTATGCTTAATAGCAATACTTTCTCTTTTAGTCTAATATTTCATGGAATGCAATTACATTGCATGCTCCATGGGGTTTAGTTTCAAAATTCGGCTTTGAGTATAAAGCTTCAAGTTCGTGGCAGTTGGAGAAGGTGGAAAAACTCTCCAAAGTGTCAACCGAGGTGGTGCCTTCGTGAAGGATGATTCGATGCTAGAAGGGTATCGGATCATGCTTACGTTAGTACTTACTTAAGTTTGCTTCTGTTTTGATTATCATTTTTTTCGCTTTTTTCGTTCTGTTTAGTTAATTCTTTCTTTTTTTGTTTAGTTAGTTCCGTTTAATTATTTGTTCTTTCTCGTTGTTTATTAGTTAGTTCCATTTAGTTAGTTTATTTTGTACCTTGTGTAGTTGATCAATTCGGTCCATGACAGCGGACCGGCAACACTTTATTCGTAGTGTCTTAATATTCAAATAGTGAGAGGACTGTAGAAGAGAGAAGAGATAAAAGAGAGGGGAAGACGGGTTTGGTTTGGGTGGATGGGCGCTGTGCAGCAAGGTGTGAAGGAGCGATGTGTATACTACAATTGAATTTGGTAACATGAGGTGCAACATGATTAAAAAAATATATATAAAAAAAAGCATTATTAGAGTTTAAAATTTAATTTTAAAATTAAAATTAAATGAATAATTATGAAAAAAATTATATAAATTAAAATCTAAAATTTAATTTAATTAATATTTTAAAATATAGGTCCACTCTTAGTTCAGGAATTTGAGCGGTTATTCACCTTACTCCTAATAAGAATCGTGTAGTATGTATATATATATATATATATATATATAATGAAATCGATTATAGCTCGTAATGATATCTTCAACTATAGCTTGATGACTATTTTGATACAATATTCCACCTCAATGCTTCCGTCAGCCAACAAATCGCGAACTTGTATCACCGGTCATCACTGTAATTTACGAGACTTAATGTCTACAGTCTTATTAAATACACTTAGAGCAAAAATCAATTTTTGGTCTCATTCAATATCATAATTATCAATTTTAGTCTCATTCAAAATTTTTAATCAATTTCCGTTCCACTCAAATGAAGATTTATCAATTTTAGTTCCAAGATGGTTGATTGGGACTGAACACGGTCATGTTTGCTTAAACACGACCGTGTTAAATGACTCAGAAAGGTGACTAGGCGTCACAGGCAGCCAACACGGCCGTGTTGATTACCCTGCACTTCTAAACACGGCCATGTTCCTGCCCATGTTCTAAACACAATTATGTTCTAGGCAATGTTCACAACCATGTTCTCAACACAACCATGTTTTAGGCCATGTTCACGACCATATTTTCAATATAGTCATATTGTAGGTCATATTTATTATTATTTTCACTTCATTTTTAAAATTATTTGATATATATATTTATAATTCAACAAAAATATTTTTTACAATTATTTCATAATATACAGAATAATCAATTTTTAATATTTATAAAGATAATTGCATAAAAATATAAAAATAATAATATATTAATATATACTTTTAATAATTATAAATTATAAATTAAATTTATTTTTAGTATAATATTTTAAAATTCAAAATAATATTTTAAAATTTTTACTATAAATTTTTAAAATATATTTAATGATGATTATTAAAAATATATATTAATATATTATTATTTTTATACTTTGTTTTGAAATAATCTTTTTAAAATATTAAAAATTGATTATTTTGTATATTATGAAATAATTGTAAAAAGTATTTTTGTTGAATTAATTTTAACAAAGAAGTGAAATATAATAATAAATATGGCCTACAATATGACAATATTGAAAACATGGCAGTGAACATGGCCTAAAACATGGCTGTGTTGAGAATAGGGTCATGAACATGGGCAAAAGCATGGCTGTGTTCAGAACACGGCAGAACACGGCCGTGTTCAGAAGTGCAGGGTAATCAACACGGCCGTGTTGGCTACCTGGAACGCCCAGTCACCTTTCTGAGTCTTCCAACACGGTCGTGTTCAAACAACATGGCCGTGTTCAGAAGTGCAGGGTAATCAACGCGGCCGTGTTGGCTACTTGGGACGCCCAGACACCTTTCTGAGTCATCCAACACGGCCGTGTTCAGTGCCAGTCAACCATCTTGGGACTAAATTTGATAAATTTTCATTTGAGTGGGACCAAAATTGATAAAAAAAATTTTTGAATGAAATCAAAATTGATAATTATGATATTGAATGAGACCAAAAATGATTTTTGCTCTTAAATTTAATAAGTTTATTATCACTATTGTTGCTCCCTCACTAAGAGCTACATAGACATGCGTTAGTCACATGAAAACGCATAGATCAACAACTTATATGAGCTCCACAATATGATCAATGAGCGATCTTGATTACTCTCAGTGCAAAATGGAATTACGGATGCTAGCAAGACCAAGAAAAAGCGATGGGCTGGTGAACCAAATTAATTAGATTAATTTGAATGAGATAAATAAATATTATTTATTTATTGTATATGGGGTTTGGTTAATATTTTGGCTATTTTTCCTGTTTTGAGACAAACCAAATTGTGCAGCCCTAAGTTAAACCCGGGTATATGGCCTAAGTCGCAGTATTAATTGGATAAAATTTTATATGTTTGATGGATTTATTATAATCTCAAACGGAAGGTTTGAAATTAGAATAAATTATGATCATCACAAACAAAACGTTTGTTATTCGAATCAATTACGACTACCTCAGATAGAATGTTTGAATTTAGAATAAATTATATCGGTAATTAAGGTCGTAATTATGATCGTGATTGATCACCTATCATTTTGGCCTAGTGGAGATGCCTATATAAAGGCCCTCACCAACTTCGGTTTAAACACACCAATAACATTCTCTCATCCTTCTCTTCTCGCTTTGTTCGCCGGAGCTCCAACGATCTGAGGTGCCACTCTCAGCGAAGACAGAAACGATTTTATCTTTGGATTAGAAAGCCGACCATTGGAGGCACTACCGGGTCGTATCTAATTTTCGGAAAGAGGATTCATCATCGATTTAGTTTCACGGTAGATTTACTTTTCGCAATACCTATTAAACTAACAATAAATAATTATATACTACTTTGCAAGAATGTCAACCCTTGCCAAAGTTGCCGGAGCCTCCGCCAGAACAGTCTCTGCCACCATCACCGCCGGAGGGGTCGCCTGAGCTGCCCTTGAGGAGTCGTTGCCGCTAGAGGAGTCGCCGGAACAGTTGCCGGAGCCTCCGCTGGAGGAGTTGTCGGAGCTGCCACCGGAGTTGCTACTCCCCCACTAGGGCCAATTTCCTTTTTGGGTAGCCCTGTGTTTTCTGGGTTTTCCTTAGGTGGTTGTGGGGGCTTTTTTGGGTTTGTGGCCCCACCCTCTACTATCTTCACGGCCAAAACTGTTGGTCCTGGGCTTGGCCCACGGATGATGCCCCATGTACGAGTTCCACAACTATTCATTGAAGTGGAATTTAAGAGATGGCAGGAGAAGATGCTCTTCTACCTCACTGCGATTGGGTTTGCCATGTTCGTACTGCACGATTGCCCAACTACTCAGAGCCCGATGCAGATGCTCAAAATATTTGAATTTTATTTTGAGCACAGGTTTTGTCGATAAAAAAAACAATAAAATGGAATCAAGTAGAGTTTTATGGAACGTATCAATAAGCTAGACCCATATTGCGAGTTGTTTCATGCCATAAATAAACTCGAACACTCAAGAAATCCATTGGACAGGCGAATCCATAGGGTCTTAACAAGAGAATTCCTATCAATTCAATAATAAAGAAAGGAAAAAAGACACATTAGAAATTCAATTAAGTCCATAGCATCTACCAATTTCGCCATATCCCCTTCATTTTCTTTTGTTTTGTTATTCAAATCATATTATTCTATCATTATTTTTTTTCTTTCATTTCTATTATAATCCTTGAATTTATTAAATAGCGATTACTATCTCAAAAAAAAAAGATTTGCAATGACTAATTCAAGCACGGCTTGGAACGCATGCGAATTATACATCATGGACACATAAAGACTACATGACAAGAAATACCAAATCAGGTAGCCACTCTAACTCTCTTTATAATGTATATTGTAAAATAAAGAGTATGAAAGGGCTATGGGATGCCCTTGAGATAAAATATAAGTCTGAGAATGAAGG